ATGGGGCTCGGGGTTGGTATTGCTTGCGTGAGTCTCATCTCATGGCATGACATGATTTATAACATTCAATCATAATAGACATATTTGAATGAATGTATCAAATGATTGTTGCATGTGACATTCCATATGCATTTAGGTTGAGAGGTATTCTCTATAGGAGTTACCCTATTGAGCGTTGGCTCAATCTTTATGGAAAAAGTTTTCAGGTATCGCACAGGCGTCCACCGAAGGCGAGGCCATGGGCCCGCTTTGACGACAGAGCCGGTCTGTGGCTTTTATTTTGACATTGTAGTCCCTTGTTTATACTTACTTTTGGCCTTGTATAATTTTTGTAACAAACATTTGTTTATATTTACAAAGGCATGTATATGGGGCTCTTTTGGAACATTTATTCTTTTACGAATAAATGTATGTATTGATAATGATTATGGTAGTATTCGAGACTATACAATTGTGAATTGATAGATAGACCCGGTGTGGTCAATATTGTACAGGTTGCGTTTTGAGTAGAGCTCCTCGTACAAAGGAGACTCTGCCCAAATTTTGTTAAGTTATAGATCCCGAGAAATGAGACATAACGGTGTGGTATCAAATTACACGATATCCACCAGTATTACACGGGTCGATGGATAATCAATTGAATAATTACAGACACCCGGACTTTGGGGTGTCACATGGCGTGGTCCCGGAGTGGTCTGGCGAGGGACCCCGTGGTGGGGGGCTGTCTAGCGCCATGAGGGATAGGCAATTGTTTTTCTCCCAATGGAGGGAGTGGGACTCCTCTTGCGAGGGGAGGGGCGACGCCTCCTTGGGAGAGCATGAGTTGGATGATTTGCTGGTTTTGGCTCACCAGTAGCTTCATGGTGTGGAGGAGTTGTTACTGCTGTCCAGCGGCGAGAGTGGTAGTAGCAGAAGGTTCTATAGGTGTAGTGGGAGGCAAAACCTCCTCCCGGTGAGCTGGGTTGTTGTCTCCCAGTTGCTGGCTCATAGATTGGGTGGTGATTGTCATGGATTGAGTGAGAGTAAGAAATTAGTCGTTCCCACAAACGGCGCCAAACTGATGATGCACAAAATTGTCTTTGCGCAAGATCAACAGTCAAGTATACGAACAGGTGCAATTAGTGAACAATAACAGACAATCAATGGCAATTACTGATTAAAGTAAAAAAATAAGGAAAAAACATAGAGGTTTACAGTGGTTTGGTCCGGGTGACCTACTCCACTTCTAGGAACGGCGACGGTGGCTTGGGGTGTTTTATTAATGAACAGTGTCACCGGGAGAGTAAATCCGACGTATTACAGTGCTTTGGAAAGAGAGAGAGGGCAATGTGTGTAGGAAAGTGTAGTGTGTGTGAGGATCTCAAGGTTATGTGAGCATGCCCTATAAATGGAGAGGGATTACATTATATAGGTGTGATGAGGCGGTGACATGAGGAGGAAGACTTCTACTGTTTTAGTAAGTACAGGTACGGTAGGAGATCTCCGTGCCTATCTCGGCGTTTCCTCCCTCGTGCTCCTATTTCTTCGGAGGAGGGTCTTGAACTGGACTGAGCTCATACTTGACTTTGGACTTGAAACCGGAGTGATCTTGGACTTGCATTGGAGTGAAGTGAGGAGGGGAGGATGGGCAAGGCATGGACGGCGCCCACTTGAGGCCACATGGACGTGGTCTCTATTTTGGACTCCTTGGTTGATCCATCTGTTCTTCAACTTTTCTCTGGGCTTTCTCGGCTTATTTTTATTGGGCTTGACCCAGTAAAATTCGGACTCATCAAAAGCTAACAAAAAGATCATATTACAACACTTTTAATACATTGAGAGTATAATGTGAAAAATTTAATTTTTGAGTATGTAAAATGAGAATCTTAAAATCTTTCGGGGTACGAAAAACCCATCAAGGTATACAAACAATTGGTGTTATTATAGTTCAATGTCTTCCTCCAATTTATTTGGGGCATCTGACACAATCATGCTTCTTTGTTCCGTGCATGACAAATGTTTTGTCCATTCAACCTAGCTGACTAAGAATTATGCAGAAGAACTACGATCAAGCTTTTTGTTGTTAGAGAAATTGAAGATATGATGTTAGGTGTTACTAGATGTGTTTGTGCCTTATTCTTTGTTGTTGTGCTGCTTCGGAAGGACGCCTAAAACTTAAATACTTATTGGTGTTTGTCCTTGGTAGCATTTAGATATGGAATCGGATCAGCATCCATGAGCGGACACAATCCGGATAGATAACGATAGTATTTAGATTAACTTAAACTTACTTTCAATTTCTTGTTTTAAATACAAACTTCTTCATTTAAGTTTTTTTTCAAGTTAAGATTTATTTATTTATTTTTATTTACATGTCTCATTTAACTGCTTTCAATTTTACTTTCGTCATATTTGAATAATTTTTTTTCCAAATAATTATAGGAGAGACTCTCAAACTATGAATTAGGATTTATAGCGTAAATTAGGATTTTAATGTTTATATTATTATTTGAATAAGTTATGCTTTTGAAAATTTATTTGGTTTACATACTTTCCGATTATTTATATACAATTGGTTTTCGTATAGATGGAGAGTGGTATTTTCTGCAACTTTTAGGATAATGATTCTTTAATCATAAATTATCCTTCAATTGCTATTTTTAATTCTTTCCATAGTTTTTAATTGAAAATCATTGTCTATACTAATTTGAATACGAAAGCAGATGAGTTAATATATTTAGAGTAGAAATACTTGTTCATGGGTGGGAAGAGATCTGAAGATTATTTAGTTCTTTCTTTTATTGAATTTATCTTTGGTTTAACTTAATTATTATAATTCTCAACCTTTTTTTTATTTTTATTTTTTTGTAGGGAAAATTACATTCAGACCCCCTAAAATTTGTCACTTAATCACTTAGACTCCTAACATTTAAAATATTACACATAGACCCCCTAAAATTTGTACTTATGTAACACTTAGACCCATAATGTAAGTATATCTGTTAATACATTACACTTAAATCTCTCTGAAGTTTATAGGTATATAATACTTAGACCCTTTAAGTTTAAAAATTATACTTAGACCAAAAATACTCCAATCAATGATAGAATATCAAATATTTTAAATTTTACAATCAAAATTCATGTTCTATTGTATTATTTATTGCAATAAAATTAAAGTTAAAATTAAATTTTTTTCTTAAAAATCGTAATTAATATACAATTATACTATCTTTTGGAATAAAACTAAACAATAAAACAAGAGATCTAAGTCATTCATAATAAAACATGAATTTTATAACAAAAATTTATGTTAAATTATGTCATTTATTGAAATAAAATTAAAAATAAAAATCTAGGTTTTTAAAAAAAAATTGTAGTTAGTATATAATTATATTATCTATTAGAATAGAATTATAAAAAATAAACAAGGGGTCAAACTGTAATGAACATAATATATTTTATCTTTAGTTGGGGTAGTTGGGCATTTTAATTTGGTCGTTTAAACGACCAAATTAAATTTCAATAGATAATTTGTATACTAATTATGATTTTTTATGAAAAAATTAAATTTTTATTTTTAATTTTATTTCAATAAATGATACAATATAACATGAATTTTAATTGTAAAATTAAAAATATTTGATATTTTATCTTTGATTGAAATATTTTTGGTCTAAGTATAATATTTTAAACTTAAGGGATCTAAATATTATATACCTACAAACTTCAGAGGGGTTTAAGTGTAATTTATTAACAGATATATTTACATCAGGGGTCTAAGTGTTACGCGTGTACAAACTTCAAGGGGTATGTGTGTAATATTTTAAATGTTAGGAAGTCTGAGTGATTAAGTGACAAATTTCAGCGAGTTTGGGTGTAATTCTCTCAAATTTGTCCTTCGTTTTCTGTGAGAAAACGACCTCTGTAATCAACGGAGTTACTAATTGATAGATTCCTACACTTGAAAAATTATATAATATGAAATTGCATATAATATGAAATTGCAGCCAAAAGACCACTTTTATTCTTGTCTTCTCAAGCTTCTAACTTGTGATTCTAGACATCCATATATAGTTAATTTATAATCATCAGTAATTCCTTGTATTTCTATTCCCATTCACCCAAAATGAACTGGGAAAACCCTTTATCATACTACAAGCTAACAAGAACAGCTTTGGAGATGGCATACTATCTCGAGGATACGAAATGAGACATTGAAGTACTCACTAGCAGGAGTGTCCATGGCCGGGCCGAACTTCAGGTAGGATAGGCTATCCGTAGCCTAACCCACGAGCTTATTGGGTGGGTCTGCTTGCGGGTTTTTATATATAACTTCATTTAAAAATAATGAATATTTTTGTAACTTAAAATTTGTGTAAATTATATTTTTGAATCAAAAGTAGAGTTAAAATGGATAAAAATAAAATAATAAATAATTTTATTTTGATTAGATGATAAACTACATCCAATAGAATGAATACATTCCAATTAGGTTGACACCTACCCACTTATCTATCATTTGCATTACTCTACCTTTTAAAACTTGTATGCTTAATAAATGAAAAAGAAAATAATACATTATTTATAGTATCTAAAATTTTAAAACTTCAAATTTCGACATTGAGAGATTTATTTTAAAGTTTCAAATTTAATGATCTAAAAGTATAATTTTTTTTCAAAGAAAGGATGAGCGGGTTGGGTTTGACAGCAGACTTATTGGCAAATTTTTTTCGGTTGGGCTCTTGGGCCCGGCTTCGGGCCAAGTAATGAGTTTGGGGGCAAACTCAAACCCACTTTTTAAGAATATTAGGCTCTGGCTCAGGCTTGGGCAGACCAACTATCGAGCCTATTTGTACGGGCCGGGTAATAGAACCCATGGGTAACTTGGCCCATGACACCCCTACTCACTAGTGCCCCTTAAACCAGGATTTTTATGAAAAATCCAAGTGAGCCTTATACAAAGGTTATACAAATTATCTTAATGTCATCTATAGATGAAAATTTTCAGGATTACAATGCTATACTGTTATACATTCGTCGTTTTTATATTGATCATGGATGATTTTATCATGTAATAAAGTTGCTACAGAAAAGGAGAAGTTGATGATGAACAACTTTTCATCATACATTGTTTGATGATTGACCCTTGATTGTGGAAGTCAGTGTAGTTACGGCCTCTCCAACAGTCAAGAAAAGGGCATCTGACCTCATAAATTCCAGGGATTCATCTGCTCGCTGTAGTTTCTCCATCACCTCTCCAAGTGGATTTACCAATACAAGCTGTGGTGTCAAAAGGACAATTTGAAGTATTAGACTATTTGTAAACCAAATGGCACAAGAGAGATGAAAAGAAAGTCTATATTTCTTGCCTCTAGCCCTTTCTTTTCCACAACCATTCTTAAATCCTTGAGAAATGAGACTCCACTTGTATCTATGGCATTCACAGCTGAAAAGCATACATAGAAGCATATTACATTTATATTTTAGATGGGATACTGCATATGCTTATAAGCAGCTTATGCTACCATTATTTTGCTGACTAGTGGAAGATAAACAAAGAAGGTTGGAAGTTTAACTATGCCATTTCTCTCACATTTCCTCTTCAACTATCAAGTTTGTCACATGGTACCTTTCAATTGGAGTTAGCTGTTTTACCCCCCCTCCCCCCCCCCCCCCTTCAAGTCTCACATTATCTGAATTGTAAGTAATGTAAACCAATTCAAGAAGTTGAGCAAAACAAGACAAAAAAATTCATAGGTGAGGGGGAAAGTGAAATCGAGACTAGGGCTTATAAGGTCAAATTATAGTTTTCAATTGCATTTAAGTTGTTTGAGTACCATAAAGGTAAGACTTAGATGCATTGGCTCAATTAAACAACCTTATTATATTATATAAAAGGAAATTAATCCATCAGGGTGGCTAACTTCAACGATTAATACCTCAAGTTATCAATCTCAACTTTCACAGGAGAATTCTAATTTTTTTTATACGATTGATTAAGCATATCTAGAATATACATTGTAATCACGAGCACAAGAACTAAGATAGTTCGGTATTCCAAAAATGATAGATGGAACAAAACAACCATGTGTCATAAAACTTACCAGATAAATCAAGAATCACAAAATGGAGTCCAGAGTGTTTCTTGGTTTCTTCTTCTTCTGTTACATAATCTTCTATCCATCTTGAAATCCTTCAAATAAAAAGAAGGATCAAAACAACTGTGAAAAATGGGTGTTAATTGTTAGAAGAGATATTTACTGCAGCTGCTAACCTCTCCTTGAGATAGGTGGTGTTGGTAAAGTTTATTGGCGCTTCAATGCTCAAAATGAGGAAGCCTGGGACTCTCACAACTTCTTTGTAATGGTGAAGATTGCGATATATATCCGTTCCAGGTATGTTTCCCAACATCATTGTTTTTGGCCTTGTGATTTGTAGGAGAACTTTGAATATAGATATCCCTACCTGATCATTATCAGCAACACCCTAGTCAATATTCCTTGTTATGTCTTATGACTTAATTTTTCTTGCACTTAATGTCAATTGTCTGTGATACTATTTGGGCTTGTCCCCATCCTTGGGGAAACCCTACCCCAACAGAAACAAACAGCTAAAAAGGTATCATCCTCCAACAAATTGTCAAGCCAAAAGAAGCACAACCTATAAAATATAAGCTAAAACACCAGAACATGGATAACTTACTGCAATGGCTAGACCATACTGGACGGAGATGAAAATAACGCCCAAGAATGCACACAACATCACAAGAAAATCGAATTTATCGACCTTCCAGATGTGATAAGCAGCAGGGAGGTCAATGAGGCCAACAACTGCTGTGACTATGATTGCACCCAGCACAACGTTTGGTGTGTATTGGAATAGTGGCATGAGGAAGAGGAGTGTCACCATCACTGTCACTGCCATTATTACGTTAGAGACTGCAGTTTTTGCCCCTGCATTGTGATTCACTGCTGATCGAGAGAAAGCACCTGAAATTCAATGTTTATGAAAACATGTAGTTGATGTTTTTGATAGCTTATGCTTAGTAATTGGAGATTTTACACAACTTGGGGTTAAAGGATTAGGCTCAAAGCTATATGTGAACCTGTTGTAACATAGCAAGAAGTGGAAGAACCAACTATGTTCATAAGCCCAATTGCAATCATCTCCTTATTCCCATCTACTTGGTAATTCTTTAGAGCTGCAAAAGTCCTTCCCACAGCTATGCCTTCCTGTTCAACATGAAGTCCATGGTCAACAAATTTAATCAATTAATTTGGTTCAAGTAACATTACTCGTAAGTTAGGCTAGGTCGTATTTGTAACATGTAATTGGTGCATAGGTAAGTAAATCAAACATTTTCTTTTTTTCATGTCAAATAAACAAATTTTTTATGTTAAAAATCGTATTATTATTCTTTGACATTAACTCAGCTTCATCAGGATGAGGGGATAAAGAAGAACAGAAACTCACAGTGAGGGAGATGATGCCAGTGACAAGCCCAGTTTTCATTACCAGTCCCAAATGACTTCCATGAAAATGCAACATGTTCCATGAAGGAGGGTTTAATCCTTCTTGTAATTTTCCAATCTATAGTAGAAAAACACAAGCATTATCAACTAGCAAGGACGAGATAGAAAATTATGAAAGATGAAGTCCTTGAGGGAGAAAATATTGAATGTAACAATGATACTATGTCATTATTGTCGTGTCAATGTGGCGTTACCATCCAATAGAAATATAACAAGTGAGCAAGTGGATCTTTTTTTTTTTTTTTTTTTTTTGGTTACTGTCCAGACTTGCGTTGAATACTCTCTCGAATTTGAAAACTGATCACTGTAACCCAAACGATTTTATAACATAACCCCCAAAGAATAAGGATGTTTAATCCTTAGGGGATATGACAAGAGTCGAACTTGAGACCTCTAAGTTACCAAATGCTAGCCCTTAGTGGAACTGTTACACAGTGCCAACCCAACCTTTAGGCCACTTAGGCCATTGCCTAGGGTCCTCAAATTGGAAGAAAAATTTGGGGCCCCCACAATAAAATAAATAATTATTATTTTAGAATATAATTTAAATATTTAATATATTTTAATTATTGAATTAATAGTGAGTGCAAAGTTTAAACAAAATTCACTCTTTATCTAATGTACTTAGTCCTCAAATTAAGTGTAACTAGCATTATTGTAAAATTTTTAGAACCTTTTTTAAAAAAAATTAGGTCCCTAAAGTTCAGCTTATTTTTGTTATCTCATCCGATATTTATATTATATGCATTATCACTTTGCAATCTTATTATTAAAATCAATTGTCTATCATATAATAGGTACGAATGTAATTTTATATTTATATAAGTTAAATTTGAGGTCATTTTTTAATAACTTTATTTACTATGCACAAGATGATTATAAAATAGAGTGAGTAGAAATAACACACTAGGTATCTTAAATTAGTTAACCATAATTGTCTTAATAAAATTTTTTATTTAAAAATTGCTCTTTTTTTCTATTTATTTTAGGACTATTCAACTTGTATAAATTTCTACTTTTTATATACATTTATAAAAAAATTATTTTACTAGTCAACCTAATTTTCAATTATATTTCTCTTTTATCTTATACAAATAGTATGTATTATTATATTTGATCTTCGTACTTGACTTCGATTAACACAATTTTTATTTGTAAAATTTAAATTCGTATGTTATATCTCAAAAAAAAAAAAATTTTATAAATAAACATATTTTAATAAGTATTTTATTATTGAATAAATATTTATAGGATTTTGTATAACAGTTTTGTTTAGGATCTCAAATTAGATTGGGCCGCCCTGCCGTTAGATTAAACATTGAATTCATGTGGTGGGTCCCGGAAACTTACTACGCTGATGCCATGGTGTTGAGCTTTGAATGCAAAAACCAATAGAGTGGAGATGATGACCGATGCAAGAGGCGCTCCAGCTGACACCCAGAATAGCTTGGGCTTTCTCATGCTCTGCATTGCACAATGGATCATAAAAAATTAGATAAGAGTATGATACCAATTCGCCACCTATCGAAATTTAACTCTTGTGTTAATTTTGATTTAAATAATTTATACTTATTTATTAAAAATTTAATAAAAAAATAAAAAAAAAAATTTTACACGTTTTAGAATCTTATGAAATGAAGAGCGAAGACACAATACTAACAAAAGAGTTTTTCAGTACTTGAATTATTAGCTGACTAATGGGATATTTAGCCGGATGGCGACCGTTAGATGTTAAGTCACCTATTTTGAGTTATGGCTACAAAAGACCAAAACATGTGTGTTGGGCATGCAACCCATCAATCTGTTAGCAATGGGGGAAAAAACACAGTATTTCACAATAAAAGGTTGTTTCGAGGCGTAAGCAAAACACTGCCGTTTGTTTCAAAAATAAAACCCCCTTAGCAGCTTGGTACAGGAGTACAAAACAATTGCAAGGTGTCCTTTGCATTCATGTATGATTTAATAAAGTTTTTTAAGTATTCAAGAATAAAATATGAAAAATAGTTAAAAACATATTATGTCTCTAGTAATTCTATAATATAAAACATGAGAGACTTCACCAAGTTCATCTGACGGTATCAAATAGACTCATTCAACAGTCATCAAAATTTCTATCAAAATCATTTACATTATACCGTGTCTTCATGCACGAGTTATCCCTAATTAACAATAGACTGTCGCATAGATTCGTAATCACCTATAATCATCTCTAACTCATAAATCAAGTTACTCAAAAAATTCAAGCGTAAAAGATCGAAAAGTAATTCTTTGCTAATCAAAAAGTCAGAAGTCAATCTTTATCAAAGTCAAAGATTGATTTCCGGGGAATTTTATTTTTTTTTTTTAGGTCTTTCTCTTCAAATCTAAGTATTTTTCTTCTATGCTATAAATACGTTATTTGAAAATTGTTAATAAATTATCCATATTAAAGAAAAGGAGTAAAATTCCAGATATTGCAAGAGCGTCTAAATGTGATCCCATTTGTGGTTATTGATTTAAAAAACTGTTGCTATAAATTCATCTCAATCTCATTAGAAAAGTGGGCCAGATAACTTTTGAGGGATAATGCAAATGTCGGTAGTCACGATCTAAATTTAGATATTTTGAGTTTGAATCTTATTAATTTTTTTAAATTAAGGTATGAGAGATTTTTTTTTTAAATGTTCTAGTCTCGAAAATGATGATGTGTCTTTTAACTTTATTAGAGAGAGAATTAGTTGAAATACGGAAACACAAAAAAAAAAAAGAATTATATTTAGACTCGTTGAAGTTTATCGCTTAATCCCTTAGACTTCTTAATATTTAAAATATTATACACAGACCCTTAAAATTTGTATGCGCATAACACTTAGACTCCTATAGTCAAATGTCTGTTAGTAAATTACACATAGGCCTCCAAAAATTTGTAGGCGTATCAGACTTAGACCATTCAAGTTTAAAATATTATATTTAGATAAAAAATACTTTAATTAAAGATAAAATATCAAATATTTTAAATTTTACAACTAAAATTCATGTTCTATTGTATCATTTATTGAAATAAAATCAAAAATAAAAAAGATAATTTTTTAAAAAAATTTATAATTAGTATATAATTATACTATCTATTGGAATAAAAGTAAAAAATCAAACAAGGAGTCTAAGTCATTTATAATAGAACATGAATTTTATAACTAAAATTCATGATCTATTATGTCATTTATTAAAATAAAATAAAAATAAAAAAAGAATTTTTTTAAAAAAAACTATAATTAGTATACAATTATCATAATTATTGGAATAAAATTAAAAAAAATTAAATAAGGGTTCAAACTGTAATAATAGACACAATATATTTTAACTTTTATTGAGATAATTTGGTAGTTTAATTTGGTCGTTTAAACCACCAAATTAAATTTCAAGAGATAGTATAATTATATAATAATTATAATTTTTTAATAAAAATTATATTTTTAATTTTATTTCAATAAATTTCATAAAAGAACATTAATTTTGGTTGTAAAATTTAAATTTAAAATATTTGATATTCTATTTTTTATTGAGCATTTTTTGTTTAAGTATACCGTTTTAAACTTGAGGAGTCTATGTATTACACATTTATAAACTTTAGGGGTCTAAATATTTTTTTTAATAAATATACTAATAGACATTGACAACCAGGTTGAGATGTTATGCGTGTACAAATTTTAAAGAATTAGTATGTAATATTTTAAATATCAAAGACTCTGATCGATTACACGATAACTTTTAGATGATGCCAGAGTATTTCTCCCCATAAAGAAAAAGAAAAAGAAAAAGAAAAAGAAAAAGAAAAAGTGTGTCAGACAGAAAAGTCAGATTATCGGATAATGACAAGGTAAACAAGTTGGGCTTTTCGGTGGTTTGAAGATGTAAGAAATTATGACGACTTTTGACAATGGGTCCTTCGACGACGAGTCCACGTGCACGCGCCTAGCAAATTCAGATGATTGCAACCTTTCACTCCTATCGAAATATATTTATTAATATTATATATTTATTTTTTAATTATAAGAAACATCGTCACATAGTGTAATTTTTTATTTTAATTTTTTTTTTATAATATTACCATTTTTTTTATCTCCGACCGAAGGTTATCCAAGTTAAAATTAAGGTTTCGATACTGAAATACCATAAGCCTTACTCTTGTTTGTATAGTTTTTTTTTTGTTTTATTAAATAAATAGAATATAATATAAAAAAAAGAACCGTAAATTATTTATCTATGTTCCGTTTTGATTTTCAATATTGGAATTGTGTCATTTTAGTTGTTGAAATTTTAATATGACAAAATATTATAATAAAAAAAATAATGTTTTAAAATTATTAATGGAAGTTGTCATACCTTTGACCAAATTATTAATGGAAGTTGTCATACATGGTATAAGGAACATTATTTGTAAAAGTTGTTCAAATGACAATCAAAAAATAAGAAAAATAAACAAAAATGCTATCCACTAAAAGTTTTATTAAATTTTAGATATCAAATCAACGTGAATTTTAAGATCAGTACCATTCATAAATTTTCACTAATGATCCAATGACTATCGTGTGATATATTATTTGAGATTCAAAATTTAATAAATATTTTAATAAAACACAACATTTCTCAAAATATAAATTAGTTAGATCCCAAATCTTCTATACTTGAGTCAATTTTGAAAGGATAAAATATAGTGAATTCAATCAATTCTTAAAAATTGTTTCATTACAAGAATTAGGATATTTTGAGACAAATTTTTTGGGATAATAGTGTTTACCAGTACATAAAAGCGTGTTTTGGAGATTTTTTTTTTTTTTGTGGCGATAGTGCTATAATAAAAAATTATTTGTTGCCGTAAAAACTATATAAGATGGTCGTTGCCGCTACAAATTTTTTTTTGAGATTTCATTTATTATAACAAGGCATGCTGTCACAACACCTAATCGTAATAAATTGAGTTTCAAAAAATCTTTGCAGTAGCAATAACCTAAAAAAAAAATAGTAGCAATAACCCGTTTCAAGTAGCATTTGAGCATTTGCGATAACAAATAAATCTTTTATGACAACTCTATTCATAAAATTAAAAAAAAAAAATCACTTACAACGTGTCTTGTCAGGAGGAGAACACAAGGAAGCAAACACCCATCAGGATAGTTTGCCATGACCACTACAACCCACATACAAACAAAGCGACATTACTACAGTGATGCTTTTTAAAACTGTAGAAGATTTTCTTAGAGATTGATTTAACATCTCAGTGAAGAAAAAAGTAACTCACCTCCTTTGTGTTGTGAAAGACAGAGCTAATGACAGGAACCAAACCCATTTGTTTTGTAAAATGGGTGATCCCAAGAAGGCTTTTTAGCTGCTGAAGAGAAACTATAATAGCTGCTCCAGCCATGAATCCAATAAGTGTAGCCTTTGACAGAAAATCAATTATAAAGCCAAGCCTGCAGAGACACCAATAAATATATATCATATGTACCAAAAATATATTATAAGGATAGTCCAATGCACAAAGTTTCCGTTGTTTTGGGGAAGTCAGAAGTACGCAGTTTTAGTAAGAGATTGTTTGTTTTGCAACTCGAATTGGCGACCCCCAATCATTATGTAATAACTTTACTGTTACACCAAGACACTCTCAGAAACTTGATTAAAACAAAACAAAGTATGGATTTCAAGATAGAAAAAGGAAAAAAAGATGTAGATCATGACCTTAAGATGCCTAAAGAAGCTTGGAAGAGACCAGCAAAGAAGGTTGAAGAGAAGGCCAGTTGAAGGAACAAGAGAGGGTCTTTGGCAGGAGAAACTTCTTGCCTCAGCATTGACCCCAGTATCAGAGAAGCTATAGAAACAGGACCTACTGCAAGATCTCTTGAACTTCCAAGAACAGCATATACAAGAGGAGGAACAAAACTTGAATCTGCAAAAAGTAAAATAAATATGTAATCACTAAAACCAACTAAGAAAATAGTCCGATATATGCAATCTTATTTTGTACGCAAAGAGATTGTGCAAACAACTCTTGAGCAAAGATAACTCCAATTTATATCCTCAAAGGCTGCCTATGCAAAAAAAAAAATATAAAGATAATACTCACAAAGGCCAACAATGGGAGGCAGATTGGCCAACTTGGCATAACTGATTCCCTGAGGAATGGCTAAGCTAGCAATGGTGAGGCCAGAAACAAGGTCAGATTTGAATAATTTGAAGCTGTAATTAGGACCCCACTGTAGTATAGGAAAGATGTACTGAGTTCCAAGCATCAACTTTTGTTTTAATGGCCGTCCTTTGAACTGCCTTAGAGGATCATCAGGGAAGAAGGTTTCTTTGAGCCTGTTCTTCAGCTTCTGGATTGTGCTCCTATGGGGTGGTGGAACAACCTTGTGAACCTCCATGGATATCTCAGCACAGTGAGAGTTGAAGTTACTCACATTTGGTTCCATTGGTGCTGAGGATTGTTGGAGGTGAATGTGGTTGGTGCTATTTATGTTATATTCTATTTGGAACCAACCCCACATCAATCAACTTTCAAAAAGACCGCTAGTATACAAACTAGTACCTGTCCACTTGGTAGCTACAAAAGGTATGATAAATTACAGTTTGACCTTCTTAACTATGGTTTTTTTCCCTTAAAATGCTGAATTTCTCACGTTGGCGTATTATTACTTCAATTGGTTTCATCTTACCCCAAATGTAGACATCCGCTATCCTTCGGAGAAGATTTGGGGGTAAAGTATGAATAATATTTCATCAAATTTGTAACCAATATTAATCGTTAGAACAATAAAAAACTATCAACCTTCCTGGGAATGTGCAATGTACGAAAGATGGTAGCTTACGGAATAATGTGAAACATATATCATAGTTGAGGAGTCAAATAATAATTTGTCCAAAAGGTTGAGAGAGAGAGAGAGAGAGAGAGAGAGAGAGGCCATTTGGGTATAGTGTGAGGGTGAGCCCACTCTCTAAACTTGTTGCTCCTTAGGCAGGCAAACAAGTTTATCTGGTGATAAGGTGAACACAAACTGCATAAAACAATCATTGAGAAAGGTCGTTTTATATCCCAAAAAGAGTAAGAGAAAATGGTGGCATAAGGGAGGAGTTTTGAGCATGAAATTATGAAAGATAAATAAAGCAAATGCGGCATTCATTGAAATGGCATTTTCTATGTGGAATATGAAAGAATATACCAAACCCAATCTTCTTCATTCATGGGTGGTGCACTTCTCTAAGATGGTTATGAATTTTATGCAGCATATGGTTAGTTACAGATGTCTTAAATGTGTGTGTGTGTGTGTGTGAGAGAGAGATTTTGATGTATGGGGAAAACTGAGGCTGGTATAGTGCCAAACAGCTATGACCAACCTACCTTCAAAAGTATACCAGCTAAATCTGACAAGTATTTAATTTCAAGAGATAAAAATGAATAATGTTATTTAAATTTTAAAAATTAATAGAATTTATTGATTTAATGATGTATTTTATTGTAACTATTACATTAACACTAATTTTAAATGGTTGATGGAGCCTACAATTAATCCGATAATTATAGTGAATTAGGTTAACAAATTAAGTCAATAAATTAAGTTCTAATAACACCCGTGCTTAAAGTTATGATACAATATAAAATTTGACCGTCCAAAAATTGATTTTATTATATCAAATAGTATTTTTCTTCATTCTCTTTCTTTAATTATATAATTGAAAATTAATTTCTACCTAGTATTTTTTTTAAAAAAATCAACATTTTTTTTTAAAATACATGACCTTAAAAAAATATCAATATGTATACACTATCGTATATAAATAATATCTGAAATAAAAATTATATTGAATCACAAATTAATCAAAATAAAAAGAATAAGCGCAATTTGATAACATTATCCCAATATTCCTCGACAATATATACCAATATTACTCTCTGAGAACAAAAAATAAAAACAAACATTTAAAAATTTATGTATGACAACAAAAATTCACCACCGTTACTACCACTATAAGCTCACTGCCGCAGGTAAAATCATCCATAATGAATGTTTCCGAAATTCTCTAGCGGTAAGTGAGGGGGGAATGTGGGCAGTAGCACAAACCACAGGGTATATGTTATGTGCACATTTTTAATATATTTTTATGTAGTATTTGAGATAGTTACTAGGGAGTTACTCTAGTAAGTAGGTTAATGGTAGAGTAATTTGCGAGAAATTTTTTAAGTGGTTACTAAGATAGTGGAACCATGAGTCAATTATGGTAGTTTTATTATTTTGTATTTAAAGGTCTTCCTATCAATAAAATGAATATGTTGAATATCATATTGAACTTTCTTTTGGAAGCGAGTTTTCTTCCTTGATTCTATTTTTCATTTATTTTCTAAATTTCTCAAAATTGTGCATGTAACAAGATACAAATGTAATTATCCCTTTAATTAAAACTCATTATAACAACATAAAATATTGACAACTTTTTTTTTTTTTGGTTCAACGATAAAGAGCGTCTGAGTTAGTTTACACGCATCTTGATTAATCTCTTCCTCAATCCAATTAAAAGTAGGTAATTCACACCGAAAAAATATTTATACATTAAATAACACTTAATTTTCATAAATTTGAGTGAAAAGTATGCTGTTCTTTTATATTTATTTTGCTGCTGGGGCAAGACATATTTTAGGATTAAAAGGGAATGTTTGGTATAATAGTTTTGTCAGTTAGTTTTTGTTTTTTTTGGAGGGATTTTTTTTTTTTGAGTAGTTGAAATAACTTAAGTGGTTTAATGAGTTTTTGCAGTCAGTGAGTGGACAGACTATAAATTCAGTGTATTAGGCATTAATCATGGCTTAGCCCTTAGTTAGCATTTATTTGCCTTGCTGGCCAAAGTTTAGGCAAAAATTGCTACTGATTAGTAAAATAGAATGACAAAGATGCCTGCTTAACTCATTTATTTAAATTGAACACGGAATTGAAGAGGTAGTTCAAGTAGTAAAAGTGGTTAGTTGTAATTTTAGAAGTCCTAAATTATATTTGTAATTTATTGGAGTTAGATAATGAAAAATTTATTTCTAATAAATACTCTAGTCTCAGGGTGAATGAGTCTGTTTTTGACCGGACCAAAAATAAAATTAATCGTACTACGCTTAAGCTAGCCTGAAAATCGTTAAATAAAAAAAAAAATTCATGGCCGCATAAAACTTGAGCTGAACAAATGCACGTAATTCATGGGTAATTAATTACACGTGTAAAATCAAAGTTGCAGTCCTAAATTGTGAATACGACCCATGTAATTTGGATGATTCATGGCACCAAGGCTAAGTGCCATGTGTGTTTTTTTTTTTCTGGGGCCGGGGGGGGGGGACAAGACCCCTGAATAAAGCCACCGGCCAACCCGTCGTTGCATTGCCTAAATTTATTTTAATTTTAGAATTTTTTTTGCTTCAGATGGTTCAAGATATATCTGTTTATAATTAGACTATTTAATAAAAAAAATATAGTATATTGTTACGTAACCGTTATGTAAAACAAAGTGTTTTTGACTGAGCCAAAAAAATCTAATTCGCAACCCGCCATTACTCATCTCTTTTTGGAAAATACCTTCATTTAATCGGGAAGTCGGCCTCTTGCAATATTGTCACGTGACAAATATTAGAGAAAATCGTTTGATAAAACGAAATGTTTTTGATTGAGAAAAAAGATCTAACTTGAGTAGATCTCGGTTTCCAATTGATCAGAGTTAAAATCATTACTGAATAAAAAAAATTTTGATCATCAAAAATAACATAAAAGCAAAGAAAAAGAATCAAGACAAACACTCAAATAGGTGCTCCAAAATTTTAATAAAAATGTAAAAAATCTAAATCAAACTAATTCGAATCAACTCAAGCAAACATAACTAGATCCACAAATTATAGCGTCAATTTTTCTTTGAGAGATACTATGTTGTATACATGATAGTGTATGTGATGTCCACATCATTGAACCATTGGTTAGTTATCCCATATTTTTGTTGTTTCAAATAAATTCAAAAGACAATAACAAAATATTTCAACACATCTACTAATAAAAATGACTAATCAAAATCAACTATAAAAGATTTTTTTTTTTTCAGTAGGTTTATAAACTCCAATTATTTCACACTTTAAACAAAAAGTCATAAGAAAAAAATATTGCAATTTTCTCATAGCAAACGAATTTTACTCAATGTTCACAATAAAAGTCTTAACAGATAAATTGAGGAACCATTTTGTATAATTTAAGTTTTAACACACAAAATTTACACCCTATAATAATGACAATTCTCCGATATGCAAGAAAGTAAATGTGTAATATAATAATGACGATTCTCAACGTTCATGCATTTGCGCCACAGACATCGAATATTATTATCTTACCCATATGATCACGTACAAGCTTAATAAACGAATTTATCTATTTTTGTAAAAATCACAAATTTTATGATTTAGCTGCATCCAACTTTTATCCATACTCAAATCTTTAACAAGAAAAAAAAAGAATTAATTCACCAACAAAAAAATAAATTATCTTTATATTAAACGTAAATATTTACCATCACAGCCAATTCGTTGAGTAATAATATATGTCCAACCTCTTGTAATTGATGCGATTACAACTAGAATTCTTTTACAAAATAATTTCATAAAAATTAACAATTAACAGCCACATGATTATGTATATCATTGACGATAATTTACTTCTTATATGCTAATGATAATTACCATGGTATCCAAGTATTACTTGCTCTTCTATTCTCACTCGTTTTCATTCGCGTCTCCCACTTTTTGTCTTGATTTTCAATGATTGGGTAAGGCTTAGTAATATATCATTTCTATGTTCGTGACTTCAATTCGTCATAAAATTCGGGCACCACGCTAGAAAAATAAGTGCATGAGAATTAGGTGGTTCTGTTTCACTTGCACATGTCATCTTGCCAGACCTCTGTTTTGTGGAAAAAAAGTACAGCTTTTGGTCATGTTAGCTAAGGATTTGTTGTAATCAAACAATTATGGTTGGACCAACCCATTTCTGACCAGCAACCTAGTCTATTTCAAAGAGTTGGGCCATTTTACAATTTGCATCCTTTTAAGTTTATAATGGATCTCTAAAGTTTCAATTATAATAATTAGGTTCTTAAAGTATTAATTTAGTTTTAATTTGGCCCTTCCATCCAAATATTTTAACTAGATCCTACAGAATGAAGCCAAATATATTATTCTTCTCTTCTTTAAATCATATTAGTGTAGACAATAACTAAGTGTTAGTAATAACCATTGGATTTGGGACTAGAAAGACGAAATAGAAACTTGAGTCATACTTGAAGGGTTGAATATGTAAATTGCCTAAAAAATATAAAGAAATATTGAACCTTCGCTTCTTGTTGGTCGTCTGTTACACTTGAACAGTACATAGGGAAAGTACAATCAAGGGGGGGTTTTGAA